TGCAATAAATATTATTAGAGTATTTTTTTATTTGCATTTGGTTTTATTCATAAAAATCACATAAAAATTCTTTTTTTTTTTCTTATGTACAGGAAATAGTAGTTGATGTTAAATCATTTTTTATACAATAAAAAATATATACATACATTTGTTTATAATATATATTACTTTTGAATTTGAGCGTGTTCTTTTGTATGTTGTTGTTTTAAAGTCTTTTTGCATTACACAATAGATTATTGTAGCAATGGCGCTTCATGTGGCATATTTTACTTCTCGTTGAACACAATTGTCTTTATGGAATATTTGGGAGAAGATGTTTCAATGGGAAAGCCGTTCTCAACCTGTTTGAAAATCATCCTCTTAAATATATAAAAAGAGATAATTTATATATCTGAAGATCAAAAGTAAAAAAAAAAAACCGAAAAACTATTTTTTCCATCCATTGTAATTAAAGTAGTTGAAAGACTGAGAATTGCTTCTAAAATAATTCTTAAGCATTTTCTAATTATTAAATTTATAGATAATTGATCAAAAGTAGCATCGAATTTACTGAAAGATTTTTGTGATAATGATGGAGAATTGTTCGCGTTCTCAGACTTTATGCTGTTTAAAAGATTCAGATGAACATCTCTTACACCTTACACCTCTCTTGAAAAGCTGTAGAAGTTCCTCTGTTTATTGTAAGCTGCAGAAGTTCCTCTGTTCATTGTAAGCAAATGAGCTTCATGTCTTTAGTTAAAAATCGGAAATTAGAAATTAGATTATTTTTACATATTATTTGACACGGACTTGTTGTGCATGTATAGTGTCTTTTGGCGGAATTATACGTTTTAAAAATGTCGTGTCTGTAAAATTCACACATATCCGTAAATTAAATTTACATTTACATCCTGAATATATACACAATTTTTGTTTTTGCGTCAACGCTTTTAGTTTAAAATTTCATTTATATATTGCCTATTTATATTAAATATAAAAAATATTAAATTCTAAATAACAAAAGAAAAACTTGGATACGATGAAATTCATTTACATCTCTTCTTCTTATACAGTCATTTTCATATTACTAAATCTGATTTTTATTCCATACATACATACAGTTCAGTAGACCAGTAGTCATAGGTAGAGAGCCTTAATGTTTGAATGCTATCAATGCCGCTTCACCCAACATATTGTGTTCTTTGGCCAAAAAGGGTTTGATTTCAATATCGTTGCTCGAAACGTGACGATGTTGATGGCATAAACGCAAATTCAGTGTAATTTCATCGTATATAGCAATGGCTGGACATTTCTCCTTATAGTAATTACTGCATTTCCAATATTGACGAGAGCCATGCTTTTTATTGCGGAAGAAGCGAAAGCCATTAATCACTAATAATTTGCCACCGTTCTTTTTTGAGTCTATGAAATCGACGCGGAACCCTGCAATAAAAAAAAGAAAAACATAAAGCACATTGTTAAAAAGTGTACAATAATTAAATACAATTAACAACACAAAATAAATAAATAAAAGGAAAAAATACAAGAAACAAACAAGCATATTTTTTGAGGCATATTTTGTTATTTATGTTTTTATTTCAATTTAAACTAATTTAGTTTGTATTCAACTTCATTTTTGTTTTTTTTTTCTCTCTCTCTTTTTGCAATTTAATCCTCCATCATAAGTGGATGATTGTGAACACCTTTAATAATGCATTTCGAAGGTACTTCCAAGGAGGTTATGGCTCTGGCCTTACAATTTGAATGCCATTTTGAACATTTCCAATATATGTTCGAACCGTAGATATTATTCTTTATGAAACGATGGCCTTCAAAGTACAAAAGTTTATTTCCGCGTGCAGTATCCGAATATTTGATATTGCCCCAATCATCTAAGGTACGTGCATTTAAGAATATCGGTTTGCGTTTCGATAAGCCCGTTTTCACCGTATGCCCACCCATGGCAATTGGAATATTATTGTGGCGATTCAAATAGGAATTGTTTAGAAGAAATGATTCGTTTTCAGCAGAGACTTCAAATTTGACATTGGCCACACTATACTGGAAGGTGCGTAATGAATCAGAATCTGTAATATTTAAACAAAAGAAGACAATGAGAAATAAAATCGTTATTGGGGATGCATAAATAATTTGATGTATACGTAAATTAGCACATAACAATACAAATAAAATAAACTATATTTTGTATATCATATATATTTTTGTTTCTTTTTTTACTTTTGATAATTTGAAATAGAGATATTACTTGGTAACAACCAGTTTTGGGAACACTTTTATTATTTAATTGTTACTGTTTAAAATATACATAAAACATTTGTTGAAATTTTCTAATTCTTTCATTTTATTAAGTTCTAAAAGGGGAGGTCTCTTATATCCATTTATATAGAAGGTTTCATTAGTTTAATTTTCGGTATATTAATTTTTGTATTTTCAGAGTGAACAAAAGACTCATTTTCATTCACTTTATAAGTCTTATTTGATTTACGCACGGGAAACTTGCGTGTGTGATTGTGTTCGAATGAACGCTGTACAATTATTTCATGACCCTGTTCATTACGGGTTGTTACAATTCTAGCTCTGCAAATGGTTATATCCTGTAAAATAATACAAAAAATTATTGATTATTACTTTGCAAAATTCTTTTGGGCCTTTTGTGGGACACTAACCTTTCTTGAACAAATCCAATAGGTTCGGGTACTGGAACGCCGATTTCTCACATACTTTTCATTGTTGTATAAGAGAACGGTGCAGCCACGTTGTCCCGTTGCTAATACTGCGCGTTCAGCTAAAATAATAAAACAATACAATAATAAATATATTTGAAATTAATAAAAATAATAATGAAATTGTATTTGTATGGCAACAGAAAAACAAAATCAACTATGATATTTCGTGAAAATACTCTTATTATTTATTTCAAAAAATATACTTCGAAATAAAACTTATTAACATAATTACAAAAAAACAAAATCTACTTTTAATACACTATTCAAGCTTAATGCTCACAATCTTTTCCACCAAGGCAACTGCAGCTGGTTTACGCTTTTTGCGTGCCACCAATTGTGAATGATTATGCGGGCAGGATTCCAATACAATTTGTGTCACTCCATTTATAACATCTGTCACTACTCGGGCATTGCATTTTAGACTTCCCTAAAAGATGATAAAATACAAATGTATTAAAGGAGAAGTGTATAAAAAGTTAATGTTATTTCAGGTTGCAATTAGTTTCTTAGGTTTGTTTATTGCTACATATAATAAATTTGTATTTTTAATTGTTATATCCACATAGATCTGTCATCAAGTGTTTCCCTCACAAATAAAACTAAGGAGTCGTATCCTCATTCAATAATCATAAACAGTATCCAACATTAATATTAATATTGGAATATCTAAACCCTAACAGTTCAACAGGTGTTGGCGGATATTTTCATATTACTCTGTTGCAAGAATTATAAATAGTTACCCTCAAATAAATACTCTTTTTCTGTGTCCTTATAGCCGTTAAGACAATACCATTTAAATTTAGTTCGGGACTATAAATATAGCCTTTCGTAAACTGCAATGACAGGGGCCTTGTCTAACATTGTCCATAATTAATTTTTCCCAGTACAACCTAATGTTATTACATCATATCATTTTATATAATAAATCTGTCTATAAACTAAAATTATAAAGTTAGTTATAAAATAGGTTAATACTTAAAAGAGCATACATATGCATTAAATCACTTACCTTCTTGGCACATATCCAGTACGTCTTGACACCACTTTTACGATTCTTAACAAAATTATATCCCTTGTAAGATAATAACTTACAATTCCTTTGGCCCACAATAAATTGCAAATCATCATTTTCGGTCTTTATAACTACAAAATAGAAAGAAGGAAACAAAAATCGATTAGTAGAAATAGAAATTGGAAATAATTTCGAAATTTCCAAATATTATTGAAAATTCCATATAATTGAAATTTAATTATAACAAAATTTGACAAATTTTAAATTTAGGTAAACAAATTGTTTTTATTAAACAAAATAAAACGAATTAAATACAGTGGTTTTCTTAACTTGAATTATAAAAAATATATGTGTAGAGAGAGGCAACAATTAAGTATGTTTAACTTGTTCTTCTTAGGTGTCTAATAAAAAAGGTTTTATGGCAAAGTCGTGTTTTTTTTATTATTGTGATAATTTGTTCTTAAAACGGCGGGTGATTATGTTTTCCACATTTCAGAACAACATCGTGTCGATAGTCTTCATCAATAGTTACAGCTCTAGCTTTGCACTTGTGTATGCCAGCCCGGGCACATGACCAGTAGGTTTTATTTCCCGATGCCTTGTTGCGGGTAAAGGTGAAATCACCAACTTTAAGCTTACGACTACCACGAAAACCAGTGATATAGGTGATGAAATAATTGCCTACCGGTTGGTCAAAGGGATGTGTAAGTAGATACCGAAAAAGATACAAAATAAAGGTGAAATGATTAATAAAAGATATACTAATAATTATGATACACTAGGCAGTAGGATTTCAACTACAATTAATGGCATTTCTTTTTTAATATATATTTTTTATTGATGTATCTTATTTATTATGAATTTTAAGTTTGTACATACATTTATATATATTAGATTCAGAATTTTACAAACTAATAAATAATAAAAATTATAAGTAGTAATATGTCTTATTTGACATAAATAGTTTATAACAATGCAAAGTAGGTGCCTAATAATGTTTTAACTTAAATGGCCCATTTGGTGCAACATATGATGACATAATCTCTAAATATCCAATTCAGAGTATTATTTTTATAAGAATAATAAACTATATTTCGCAACGTAGTAAATAGAATCTATGAAAATTGTAGTTTATTAACTCACTATTTGTAAATTATGAACTCGAAATATTGTTGTTTGTCCACACCTAGGAAGCAGTTATGTTTTGTTGCAATGACTCCATGTAATTAAATTATATACTTCTCCATCTATCGAATGATTATTCAATTAATTTCCGACTTGAATTCTTGCTTTTCAAAACATTCATCCTGTTTCACCTTGGCCACACGTTCGGCTTTGAGATTTTTCAAGGAACCATATTTGCGGGCCTGTGTTATGACTTCATGGTTATGATCACTGTTGAGTACCGTCAGTGTTTGACCCTTGGTCTTAATGCGTGCCTTACAACGCAGTACAGCAAATTGGCTACATCGCCAATACGTAACATCCTCTCGAATGACATGACGATTGAAGGTGTGCTGTTTGAGCAGCAATTGTTTTGTGCCATATTTACTGACCACAAAAACAGGGCCATTGTTGCTGCTTCGCAATGTCGACGAAGAGATACGTTGATTCGCTGACAGGCAGGGTGCAACAGGGGCTGGCTGTTGGTTTGTTACTGCCGCCACTGCTCTTATTCCTCCCATACTTTGCTGTTGTTGCTGCTGCTGCGCCATAGATCCTGCTGGATTTAAAGGTTCAACAATAACTTGATCATAGTAATGGACTTGTCCTAAAGGTTGTTTCATTGGTTTGTCGGAATACATAAAAAGGAAGAAAAAATACAAATTTAAAAATTAATATAAACAATTATATCAAAAAATCGTATTCGCTACGCTACATTAGCAAGTGTAAAGAAAAACAAACATATTTGAATTTGTATTTTTGATTTATTTGCCACAGGATGGTTTGTGTGTTTTACATTTAATCAGTTGTCCTCCCTTGAGATCGCTTAAGACCAAATAAGCCGGGCAGTCTACAGTCAAACAAAACCAATAACTTCGATAGGGCGTGGCACGTGTCTTTTGGTATTTAATGCCCATGAGTACGATATATTCCGTCGAGCCTATTTTTAACATTTTGATTTCTAAATTTGGAAAAAAGGAGGAAGGACAAAAATAATAAGTAACAATAATAATTATTCAATACTAATTTATTATAGTAACAAAATGAAAAAAGGTTGCCATAACAATGTTATGATTTTATTATCTTTTGTTTTATTTTAAAATATCTTTGTTGAAATTATGCATATTGGGCTTGGTCTGACTTATCGTACTGAGCTACACAACTAACTTAGCCTAGAAACAGTTTTTTATTATCGCCTTTAATGAGATTCGAGGGCATGTTGTCCGAGGTAAATTTGGGCGGATGATTGTGAGGATTTTTCCCCAACTTTAGTCCACCCTCAACTTTGGTTATACACCGGGCGGTACATTTATTTTCCGAAACACGTTTACCATTGCCATTCGAACAAATCCAATTGATGGTAGAACGAAAACTGGCCTCTTTTTTATACATGTAACCGCGAAAGATGAGATTTAGACCCTGCTTTTGATTACGTATGTAATGGTAGACTTCATTATCCAACCAAACACCCACTGGGACATCTAAAATGTAAAGTTTTAAATTTAAAAATTTTTTAAGAAAAAAAAGGTTAGTATTATTGCAAAACGGAGTATAACGAATAACCTGTATATATTTTTAAGAAAATAAACTCAAGTCTAGATTTAATTTATTTCCTTTTTAATTGGCTTACTTAAAATATTAAAGCAACTAAAATTTATTGCATCGAACCAAATGCATTTTCATTTGATTATTATAAAATTATATTAGATCTAAATTGTTTATAATATTTACATTTAGTTTTTTAATGTAATCTTTTTTTAATTTTGAAATGGAAAAATAATAGAGGACTTTCAATAAAAATACGTAATGTTATTAAAGTTTTCTATTAAATCTTAGGTTGTGCCACAGCTCAGATCATTATCGGGCTCTTCTTCCTTTATTTGTAATTCTTTCCCAGACGACATTGTTTCGTATAACGAAACGTGTGAAGACGATTGATTGCTCATCGATTTTCGATAAAGATTATCTTGTAAATTTCTGTCAACATTTGTTTTTGCTCTACATAAATAATTCATTTGCTTCCTTTCCTGACGGATCCGGTCATATTCACGTTCGTGATTATGTACACCAGCCATGCGAACATAATCATTATTGGAAATTGTTAAGCGCGCTGTGCAACGAAGCTTGGCAAAACGACAACAGCGCCAATATTTTTCACGATTTTTACGATACAAATAATCGTCTAATATCAGCAGTGGTATACCACGAGGACTGTAGATATATTCCAAAGCTACAATAATAAAAAATAATAAAAATAACTTAATTTAAATGTTAATATGATAGAAGGCTACCCAACATACTTGTATGTATGTTAATGTATCACATGTCTAAAAATAACAAACTGAATATTTGTATATCTCATTTTCTTCTATTGATAAACAAAAATTAAATTAATAAACTTATCCTTTTCTATGTTCTATCTTAAAAACCATCTTCAGAAGAATCTTCAGTTTTCATAAAATATAAAATAAGGATAAACTTTAGATTTTTATTAATTTATTGAATGTTTATTTATTACTTTTATATTCTTTCTAATTATTCGTCATAATTCTCATTTTATTTTCCACATTTTAACTATTCTGATCAGCAGTAGCGTTCGATGTTTTTATTTTGTTACAATGTTTCTGTTGTCCTGTGGCTGTGAACTCTTTCCTTTGATTCTTCCCTAATTTGTAGCATCCTTTGGTTTTGGGCACGACCTTTTTCAATTTTCTTTAAATCTTCGGCATGGAAATGCTTGCCATTAATTTTTGCTATTCTACCGTTGACAACATGCAGGCGGGCCGTGCACTTGTACGTTGTGGTTTTAACGCAACGCCAAGAGTTACGATTTTTACGATAAACGAAATTATTAAAAACTATTAATGGATGGCCACGTTGACTGTAAATGAAGTCCAATCCTTCAACTGTAATGAAATGATTGGTTTATGTATCTATTATTAGCTATAGTTTAGATAAAAATACAAAGAAAAAACTAAGAGACCTGAAAGGCCAACACAATCACATTTCAATGCAGTCGAAATCGCTTACAATGACGCTAAATCGCTTACAAAGATGTAAACAATAGTCGTTATAATCTATACATCGGACTTTATAACATAACTTTTTTCGTGGCTTTTGGATATCATCGTTAGTTATAACGACCATCGTCATGTAAACGATTTTGACTGTCAGTTGGTTTGATTAGAAATGGTAAATATGTATAAATATGTAAAAGCTGTACGACAATCACTTTTGTATATATTTGTATTTAATTCCACATATAAAGACAACATTATCTAAAATAAAATTTTTTTTAAATTATTTTATAGGTTTTTATAGTTTCAAACTATGAATCAGCCTCTCCTAAGGGTTCACTTTTAATTTCTATACTGTCCATATTGTAGGTGACGTTTGGTTCATGCTGTGGTTGGTGCGTATCCAAAGCTGAGCCCGTTGACCTCGTGGTATTAACAATATTTCGTGGACTAGAGTCATAATCATTTCGGAGCATAGATTCGCGGTGTGTACTAGCAATACTTTGATGTTGTTGCAGGCTAACAGCTGGCATAGAGGAGTTTGCATTATGTGCCATATTTGAACATGAATCATTCCGTAGCAACGATTCAAGTGTCGAAGTACCCATTCCTGATGTTGAACCTGTAGTTGCAGCAACACAATTCGAAATAGTTGACCATGTGTTCGTAGTACTGTGATCATTCCTCAGCATGCTATCGAATGTAATGGGCGTCATACCTTGATGGAGATGCTGCTGTTGCCCCGCTACACCTATCCCAGCCGGTACATCCTGTGATGAGTTAACATACCATGGTCTAGGTGGATTGGGATACATAGATTCCATGCATGTGGAATCTGTGCTTGCTGTTTGATCTGGCTTCTTTAAAACCTCTGGTATTTTGGCTGTATTCAATGAGGCTTGCTTATGCCTTTTGACCCTTAAAATTTCTTCGCATTCCCTTTCGTGATTGTGAAATCCAATAGCCTTTTGTATGCGGCCATTGGTAATAATAAGAGTGGCCTTACAATTGTAACGGGAAGCACGTAAACAGCGCCAATATTTGGTACGATTTCTATTGTAGAGATAATCATTGAACACTACCCTAGGATGCCCACGTTGATTAAAGATGTATTCAACGTTGAAGTGATCTGTAATAGCAGTTGAAAACACAATAGTATTGTTACAATGTACACAGGTTACTGGGAGATATTATTATTTGTGTGTAGGCCTTGCATAAAGAAAATAAGGATATTTATTGTTTTCTTAATATGTTTTATTATGTAAACTATAGTTTCAGTATTTAATAAAAATCTACAAAAAAACCATTATGATATATTGTTTAAATGCATTTGTTGCTCCATCAAGTTCCAGAGAGTTTTGTTCAGTGATTGTAGATTTATTCATATCACTTTTCGGCAAACTGAAAATAAGACTGTGCTAAAATCATGTAATATAGAAGTGTTGCAGTAGTCGTTTCTTAAGTTTTTGTGCTTCAAATATCCTGCTGACGTTCGGAAACATAGACACAAGTGTAGTTTCCATTTCAATTTATTTCATAAACGAGAACCTAGCCCAAAGGGCTATGAGCGATTCCAAAAACTCCATTACATGGACTACTTCATTTGGATCATTTAAGGGAAGTCCTAATTTTCGAGTTTTGAGCATTGAAAGTTGTGCAAATGTCATACCTAAACATTATTTTCTTCCATTAATATGTTTATATCATAATTTTCAGTAAAAATAGGTATAACAAATAGTATAAATTATTTCGTACCTATAGACATTGTATCGAATCTATCTTTTGAAGCGCAATTACGAATTAAGATTAAGGACTGGCCTTCTAAATGGACCCATGGTTATACTATTTCAGGTATTTTTAAGTGCGAATTTCAATTTAAATTTATGCAAGATCCAGTTGCAGACTCATCATTGTATCGATCATGCACAGTATTCAATGGAAATATCGACCCACCTACAAACAGTTTTGTCATTGTAATCAGCATAATGAGTAGTACTTGCTGTAAATATTACAAAACCATCAGAGTAAACCCAATGCTTGCTAATTGTTGCGGTTTCAAGCAATCCTTCATATTCTAATTTAGACTTGCTTAGTATTCAATATATTAATATTGAATACTATATGGGATTTTAAAATATAATCTCGTTCTGGATACTTAAAATAAATTATGAGTATAGTTATGAATCCCTTATACATGTATGGTCTTTTCACTTACCCCATGCAGTAAGCCACCACCATGCATCGATATCGTATTCTGAAAACACCACATTTGATCTTTCATATATTTTAGAGTTGGGAGCCATCCCTTTGGCGCACTCCAGTCAACAAGGCATATCGTTACTAAAATTTGCACAATTGGAAGCAATTTTCAATCTGTGTTTATGGCCACAACATTTGTAAACAATGCTCGGTTTTGTTATGATGTCGTTTGTCTTGACACCATCGACAACATAATTCTATTACAATTTTATGGGATACAACAAACAAACACAATCATACAATTCCATAATTCATTCATAATTCGCTTTTATATTGAATATATGTTTTTTGCACATTTTTCTTTCGAATAACTTTTAAATAAGCAATGCAAATTGTATACAATTTCATTCTTTTTCAAATAAAACAAAAACTATGCATTTCCACAGAATCACTCATAGCACCAGGCAGTATCAAATTAAGGTTTGCATACTATATATGCATGGGTTTACGTTTGAGAGTTAACTCTTCATTTTTTTGTAGCTAAAGGTACATTTTATCATTATTCCTTCACAACACATATTTTCCAGAAGCTTTTTAATGAAAATTCACTGTATTTTAACAAAAAATATAAAAGACGCCGAGAAAAATATCCGATTTTCTAGCACGAAAATAACATTAATTTTATGGTGACAATCGAGTAATCGAAGTACTGATTACTTAAGGCAAACTTGTAAAAGATTGCAAGATGGCGACAAGATGACATTTTACAGTGAATATCAATATTTTTAATGTAATGGATCGATGTTGATGTGATTGTATATAAATAAATTAAATTTAACATAAATAAATTTAAGAAAATAAAATTAAATAAAAAATAAACATATTTATAAAATAAAAATATAATACATTTAATTAAAAATAACCATTACTATGTGATAGGCTATGTATGACAATGAAGGAAGAAATACAGGTATATTTTAAAGCTAGTTACTTCAAACTTTACTAAAACAAAATATAATATTTGTATTATCTTTTATTTCCAAAATCGAGGAGTTTATATAATTTCCAAACTATGAGAGGAACTATATAAGAAGAAGTTGGCTTCTTGTATTTAAAAGATTAAAGAAGAACGGCGTTCAAATGCAAGCTTGACTCTGATATTGATTCATAAATGTACATTTCATACAAAACCAACTTAACAGGCCAGGCCTGAATCTTCGTATGTGTTTCTCCTTATATCTTTTAAACAACTGAAATAAAAAATCCAAGATTCTATACCCCGAGTTTTCGCATGCAAATTTTATAAGCAACTCTGAAAAGTTCTGAGGAGAGAGGTATAAAAAGTGACAAGGAATTCAAAAGAGAATCGTAAAGAGCAGCAGCAGAATTACTTAAAAAAGTTGAATTTTTAAACTCGGAGATTACCTTCCTTGTATTATTATTCCATGCGTTTAATACACTTCTATACAGGTCATATTTTTTGAAACCCCTTTAACATTCGCAATCAGGCTATGGAACATTTTATAGGAAAATATGAACATGAACATTTTATAGGAAATTTCGATTAGGCGTCCAGTCTTTGTTTGTAGGAGAGAGATCAGAAAGAATAAAAATGGAAAAAATTGCTCGTACCGGCAATTTTCTGGAAATTCGTCTTGTGTATTTTGTATTGTAATGTAAGCTGCTAATTATTTGTTGACATATTGTATTTATTTAAATGTGAAAAACTATTTGCAATAGCTAATAATTTAAACATATATTTGCATACAAATATTAAATAATAAATGATTTAGAAAATTAAACATGCCAATTATATGGTATGGAGTCAATATAGAAAAATATATTTTTTGTGTACAAAATATTCATGTTTAATACAATTTTGTTTAATTTTTGTTGTGTTTCTCCTTTATGTCATTGCCAAATTCCACTACCGCATTATTTTGTTCCAACTAGTTTGTGTGAACACATTATAAAAATAGCATTGTGCTGTTTGAACATAGTGTTACATCTTGACACAACTAATTTTAAAATGTAGCCAACGTACACATCGCTGCTGTAAAAGATTAACAATATGGCGACTAAAGAAAATGTCCAATTGACATTTGTTGATCATACTGAGAAAAAGCAAAAAGAAAGGAAATTATCTTATAAAGTGCAATATACGCATCATAATCGTAGAAATTATTAACAATTTTTTACGATAGCATAAAGTAAATACAAATCGGCGATAATTCAACGTGGATTTATTTATTTCTATTAATTATTGTTATTTAAATAAAATGTTTTGTTAATCACCCTTTTCTGTTGTTTTATTTCATTGAATTTCTTATGTATTAGACATTGTTGTGTTTTTTCGTCATATTTATAATGAATTTTAATTATTTACCTTACAGCTAAGAGCAATGAAAAGGTCAAGCCGCCAAGAGGAAGGCCCAAGAAACCTGCTTCGGAAACCAGCAGGAACCCTCCTAAAATGATAACCAAGATAATGGAAGCGGTAAACAATAACCCTGGACAGCCAATATTGTATGCATCGACTACAAAGGGAACCATGAAACTTGTTGTAGATGGTCATCATTTCCGCTACACATTCCGTAAGGGAAAGTACACCATATTCCAGTGTTGCTACAAAGAGAAAAATGAAGAATGCAATGTCCGCGTTGTGACAGATCAGAAACTGGTGTATCCCCTAGACGGTGAACATGTTCACTTTATTCAGGCCACGGACAAGAGTGTGACATCTATGAAATTTTCACCTGGCGTAGATACTGATCTGGAAAATGTGAAAGAGCCTGAAGATACCATGGCTGAAGAAGAGGCCCAAACTACTTCTGCTGAAGTGCATGATGTTGTATTGGATGAGGCTCCAACTGTCTACATTGGGAAGGTTCTAACTCCACCGAAAGCAATTAATGTGAAATTGGAAAAGGGTGTATCCCAAGAGCAAATGGAGTTCACTAACGAAAATCCAGCTACAGCAGCAGCTGAAGATCCAAATGAATTCAGAGAAAAAATTAAGAAACGTTTGCAAAAAGCATTACTTGGCAAGAAAAAATAATTTTTGTATCCATGTATTCCCCCAATAACATTTTAAGTATATATTTTCTATATATGTTTTATATAAGTACATATCATTTTAACTGAAAAACGTGAATGGACAATAAATATATCAACAAATCCATTAGCCTCTTATTATACTCATTTATTAAAATGATTTCGAAAAATTTTATTTCAATTTGAGAAATAAAATGTGTGCTTTTTGTCTCTATATTCTTCTATTTCCATTTCACATATATTTCCAGTAATGCAACACGTAAGGAATTGTGGCGAACAGATCTTCATCATTTCTAGAAAAGGAGGAACTCTATTGGCCATCAACGATTTCATATATCGTTCGAATTTAAAACGTTTTGGTGTTAATTCCGATAAAGTGTACTGGGAGTGCATACACAATCGGTCAAAGAAATGTCGTAGTCGTTTAAAGACTATTGGAGATGATCTATATGTTACCAATGGTTAGTTTTGTTTCCGTTATCTGATCAAGATGTATATACATCCTCCAATATATATTACGTTTTATGTTCCTTTTCTCATTTTAGATGTTCACAATCATGCAGGCGATCGTCAGCGCATAGAATTAGCTAACAAATCGGGAATATTAATAAGGAAAAAATTTAGTGCAATAGGTTTACCGGCCTATAACAGTAATACTAATAATAAACCATTATGTTAATGGAGAGATGTATTTTTATTGTTTTTTCATATGAATATATAAGTTGCCATTAACACATTCGCGGACGTGAATGCTAGCATCCATTTTTACGCTGAAGCTTAATGATGAGAATACAATTGCGTCCGCGAATGTGTTAATTATATATATATATATAATGTATGTGGACGTTACAATGCAAATTCGAAAAATTCTATAAGGAACATTGTTTAAACATTTACTATTTATTTCCAATTTGAGTCAATGAAAAAATCAGCCTTTAAGGCTTGAAATTGCATTTATTGAAATAAATAAGCAGATATTCAGTTTTTATCACTCGAATGCTATTATACAATTTAATGTTGTACAATGTATTCGTTTAACAAACTTTTCCATTGTGTTATAATTGGTTATATCGACTCCCATTGATAAATATATACTTAATTAATATCATCTTTTAGGAGAATAAAAGTAGAATTCCTCTAATATACTAACGTTTTCAAATACAACATGTCTTTCTTCCTACTTACCTCCTTTTTTCCTAAAGATTATTTTTTTTTTAATATTTGCTATGTTGTATTTATTAAAAAATTTTGCTTGCTATAATTGATTCCGCGGCCCTCATATTTAATGAGTATGGAATGGATGTGTTATTCGATATCGTATATCATTGCCAATTTGTTTGGTACATGCTCGAGCTTTACATAAATACTTGACGTACATTGAACATCGCCAACTTGAGACATAGGCAGATTTATTCTTCGGCTTGGTGTCACAAACAAATGTGAAGTTCTCAATCATCAGTAGTGGGCGAGATTTTTTTGATAGCCCGAATTTGGCACATAGTTGGAAATTTGCCGATATCATTTCAGGAGAGTGGCAATGGTATGCCTTGGGCACTACTTTTTTAGCTAAAAAATATAAAAGATGAATATATAATTTAATGAGGTAAATTTTTTAATTATCAAATTATGCATATACTTATGAGTAATATATTTAATAATGTATTAAACTGTGTTTTTTTTGTCTTTGAATTTATTTACAAATATTTGAAAACTTACACACAAATTTAAAATACTTAATGTTAATACTTATTTATAATAAAAAAAATCATTACATAAAAATACATATTTTTATAATTAAAAGTACTTGAACTTATATTGCAAAAACTTTATGCAGAATTGAGACATGTTTAAGATTGTTTATTAAATTTATTAATATGGGTTTAGTGGGTAATACCAGTTTCCGTGGCAAACTTAAAGAAAATAATATTATTTATAGCACATACAATTGATATCCTAAATATATACTATTTTTAGAATAGTATTTATAAGAACTTGCCATTAAAATGTATAAAAGTAAAAACAATATGTTTTTACTAAAACTATCTGGACTTACTTCCATTGCCACATAGGGTAATAAATGCATCAAAATAAACAATATTTATTAAAATGATATTAAATGACGTCTTATAAGGTCATATGCACAAAAAAAAAGTCGGGCAATTTTTTTAATTTCACACAAATTTCATTTGATATATAAAATGCACATTTAGCGTCCTAAAAGAATTAATTATTTTATGAAAAAATCTGGGCAATTTTTTTAATTTCACACAAATTTCATTTGATATATAAAATGCACATTTAGCGTTCTAAAAGAATTAATTATTTTATGAGTTTTTTTTCGAAAAATCAAGTGGAGTAATAGAATTTCTTTAAAAGGACAGTGACACTACTGTCAATTTTGTTCCTTGTGAAAACTCAAACTATTAGACATTCTAAACGACGAAGGATATTTTTATCTGGAATTTAGATTACCCATTGTATATTGATTAATAAAAATTGAGTACTGCCGAAATGCTGAAACATACATTCTTCACAGTTTGTGATAAAATTATGATCACATTGTATTTTAGTCATTTTTATTATGAATGAATACTTTAGAGTGAAATATGGATGTTCCGCAAAATTCATTGTTGGTTCACATTAGCAATGGATAAACATGCAGAATCAAATATGATAAAATTGCACTTATATGCACTCTACACGACAAACAGCAATTATGATGGGAAGTCCAGCAGAAAAAATTAGAAACATATTTCCATGACTACAACTATATGATAAAATCGACATACATATATCTAACATTTTCTCAAATATTCTTACATAGACGAAGACTCCGGCTTATAGACACTATTTGATGAATTACTACTAGACTCGGTAGTAGATCTTCGTACATATTGGGCACTTGTAATAACATTTGTTGTTGACGTTACCGGTGTCGATGGCGCAGTTATTACACGTTTCACATCTTTTATATTTCCCGAATATGACAGTACCAGTGGAAGCGGCCCGGTTGACGGAAACGATACTGGTGTGAATTTCAAGTCGGCTTGACTAAAACAACTCAAGCTTTTGGCCGAGCAGTACAACTGGCATGTGGCTAATATATCTTTGTGTCGACGTTTTATATGACTCAAGAAGTTGCCGGTCGATTTTGTGGTACCCGATATTATGCCAAAACATGTTGTACATGTAGCCTGAATGCCACCCGGTGTCTTGGGATGTGGTTGGATATTGTTGTAGAACTTTCCATCCAAGATTTTAGGCAAGTTTTGTGGTTTTCGAAATTCTTCATTAGTAGTGGGTGTTGTGGCAATGGCAACCGATTCGGTGGTGGATGCACTGGTAGACGTATAAGACATACTTGATTTACCTGTAAAAAAAAGAGAAACATGTGTTAGTAAAATACAATATATATATGAAAAACCGATAACAGTGTATCAAATAAATGTATCATTGTTAATTTTACATTTACTTCGATTTTAATTGTATTTCATTTATTTTTTACTTTGTACATTGATTTCATAATTTATTTAACTAAACATAAATAATTAAAAATTCTATATAACTTAATTTGATTTAATTCACATTATTTCTTCAATTTACTTTATATCGCCCAAAAGGCCAACCATTGACCTCATATAACCCACTTTGGTATCTTCAAGGAAATCCGGTGAAATTTCCACCAAGCTATCGGCTTTCATTTCGGGTTCGTGAGTGTGTGGAGAACCAGCTACACGAATAGAAACATCATCGTTAACCTTAGATGTAACAACGGTAGCTCGACATCCATATTTTACATAACGGGAACAACGCCAAAATACGTTCTTGTGTGACTGGCGATTTTCGACATACCGATAGCCATTATAAATTAACATAACACGTCCACGTTGTGTCGTTGAATATTGAATGTATGTTGTGGCATTTTTCTCCTCAAAAAGGTATTTAAGCGCTGCAAAGAGGGGAAAAATAAAAAGTATGTTTAGAAAGAATCAACAAACATTAGGCAAATATCACAAAATTGTAGAAGAGTAATTATTAATATGTAGTAAATTTAATTTGTGTAGCTGATGAAAGTTTATTAGATAAAAAAACAACATACTTATATTATTTACACATAAAAATCATTAAGAAACAAAGTTTAACATAGAATATTTTGGTGAATTGTATTATGTGGATGCTCCAGCATTCGATGTTGACATATTGGCTAGCTTTTGTTGTATAAAACGTAAAACCATGGCATCGTCTAATTTTTCACCGCGCATTGAAAAAACTTGTACCACATGAGCTAGAAAAGAGAAGCAAAGATGGATTTGGGGTATTAATAATATAAATTATTATTATCAATAGTTCTTGGAAGTTTTATAAATTAATGAATTCGAAATTAAAACAATAATTGAAAATCGGTTTACTACAGTCTTATGAATTAGTGGTTCGGTTACACAAGTAAAATTAGAAGAACTATTCTTGTGAACGTGTACGAGTGAAGGCGAATGCTATATATGCATATAATTATATTTTTTTTAAATACAAGTTTTGATTTCTTCAGGCCTGCTGGGGCTAGAACTGAAAAATTACAAAATTGTCGGTTTTATTTAGAAAAATATTCACAAGAATCACATTTTATTTTTTGCGGTTTGTTGCATATGTTCTAAAGGTAAACAACAATTATTTTAGACACAAAAAATATTTTATAATGCAAGGTTATTTAAAAAAATGTAACATCTCATAATCATTAGCTATTACGATAACTGGTGTATAACTCCGATTCTATATGTTCTTATATAAACCACTTACTTATTACAGATTTGAGCAGATCATCATCTAGCAATTTCAAACGATCCTTAATTCCAGTTTTCGCTACCTTTTCCAGATTCTCCAACCCAAATACCAAGTCACTCAAACGTGACGTATATATGCATGCATTCGGGATATAAATTTTCATCAAATCATTTTTCGAAACATAAACTCGACTTCCAGCAAATAGTGGTACCTTACCAGAATCGATAGGTCTGGTTTTCTTAGGTTTAACCGAAGTTGGTATAGCTGCTGCTTTGGCCGATGATATCGTAACTACAAATAGAAACATGCAAACACATTAGAACATCTTTGATAACATAATGAAGACTTCTTCCTAGATACAATGGAAAGTGTAGGAAAATGCTTGCATTGTTTTTTGTTGAATGCATAATAAAACTCAATTAGATTTTTTGTGTAATATATGTTGATTTATTGGTACAGTATTTAAGTTCAAATATGATGCCTAAATTGTTGATGGGGAGATAATAGCGTTATTGTTTTTTCTACAATCCCTTTAAGGCTGTAAGGATTAGTATTGCCATCACAACATATGCTCACATTAAATACATATTTATTTTTTCACTGTAAACTTCTTTATTTCACATTTGTATTCATACTGTTTATCACTTTTTATGTTTAGGTATATTCCATGTTTAATTTTTAATATATTTCTTGAATTATTTGTTAGTAAATATTAATTCTGAAATAATTGTACTCAGACGCAGCACATTGACAAATCGTTGACAGTGGAATGTTGACACACACGGTTGCATTTTACGACACTTGAATTTGTAATAGATTAATCAAATTAATTGGTATCTCAAGCTGTAACTAATGTTTATACGAGGCAATATGTAGTGTTATTTTTCAATTATTAATACAAGATATTTGCTTTTATACTGCTTCCTCATATTTCAAACGTATAAAAAAATTACAACATATGGATAATTGTCATTTTTAATCCGTATTAATTACAACTTTAATAATTTATAAAGTACACACAACATAAATTAACGCTTACCAACACTGGTCTCTTCTGACGCTGTCAATTTGTCAAATTGTTATTTTCATAGAGTTTTGTGTGTGTTTTTTATTTGGTGATTCTTTTCTCAAATGTTTATATTAGAAAAGCAAGCAAGGTGTTGGTGCTATATTTCAAGTCATAATAAAATGGTGTGATAACAATATATTTATATTTGTTATTTAAAAAAATTGAAGTGTACAAATAAATAAGTATATAACTGGGATTACCCCTTCAGCCAGAATGAAATGTGCAACAAATTACAACAAGAGTAAAACAGAATTAAACAAACATCCCAGCTTCCAAAATATTGTGTTGTGTATTTTTAAGATTTGTAAGTGGTGAACGATATAACTATGCGAGATAATGAAAATAAAGTCGTATGCCTACAATTGCATGCCGGAGTTTTATTGTAGTTAGTCTTGGAGTTTGTATCAACTGATGTGTGGGGTGCTACCTAGATTGGCATAAGTCAAGTTTAAGGCTAGCACTTGTGGCACGAGAGCAGTTCGACTTTTTGGAAGACTTTGGTTTCTGAGATTCCAAAGGCTTGCAAAGTTCGGTATTTTTAATATAGCCGGTGTTGGCTACAACACCTGCAACCTACGTCCGATACCCGGTGGATCAGAATCCTTTCTATTAAACAATTCCGCCGCTTAGCCATTGTTGACACCTGTCCAGGGAAGACAAAGAAATAAGTTTTGTTTAAAAGGAGAATCTATCGTGTTAGAATTTCAAAATGATCCGAGACTGTGCTCTTAAATTGGTTATTGAATCTATATGTGAATACCTTGAGTGTCCATCAACAATATATTTGTGAAAAAGATTCCCTAGAACGTAGATGGGGAACTGCAGTAGAACCGGAGGAAAGATTCATTGTTATTTTATTTTAAAAATATCACATTAAAAAAGTTTTTTGCAGTCGATCATAAGTAGATAATAGTATTTCCCGATTAGAATTGGTATTGACAAATTCAAAACGGTAAAATAGGTTAGGCAGATGCATGGACATATTTGAATATTCTCCAGATTGCAATTGATTTGTAAAGATTATTGATAGTATATAAAATCTCATTATACATTCAATTGAGGTTATGCAATGTAAAGAAATGGGAGACTTAAAACTGCTTTGAAATACATTTACAAATATTATATTGAAGTCAGTCCTTATAGACATAAAAGGTAATTCCTATTACGATATATTATGAGTGAAAAACAATTCTATTTTTTACACTATTTTGAATATAAATAAATACTGTAGTGTAATATTTCAAATTCTCAATTTATATAAAAGTGATACTATTGTACATATAAAATTCATTTTATTACTTTTAGATTGTACCGTCTTGCATGTTGTGAAATTGGAGGATGCCAAAAAGGCCAGCTATGATCATCTGAACGTAAGTTTTACACGAAGTGTTCGTGGCAATAATCTCTTAACAATCAATGGTAAAAATTACACACTAAATCGTCGAATAAAAGATGCGTGTTACTGGGAATGTGTCAAAGTTCGATGTAAATATACAAAATGTACGGCTCGAGTTATAACGAAACAAAATCGAATTTCTTCATTGCGTGGTCATCATAATCATAGTTAACTTATCAATCTGGAAATTGTATACTATATAAATAAGCCACAAAACGATACTCATATTCATAAGAAAATATTTACTTATTTATTATATATTTTAGATTATTTTTAGTATATGTAATTTATTTATGTGCTAATCTATCAAAGATTATATTTTTTAATTTACAATATTTCAAAAATATACCCATATATGAACGAAAAAAAAAATAAAAGTGCCATTTTAGGACTGTTTTCTCTCATTTGAATTAGTATCTCATATTAGTAGCATACGCACAATATATTGTTTATTTATTATTGGAAGTTTTGTTAACACTGCATCATTTCAGGGAAGGACAGAAAAACTAATAAATTTGGAATTTGGCTAGATGATAACTTAACATTTGTGCGTAATCGTCGTGGCGGATTTAATTTAATATATAATGGTTATCTATATACAGCTAAGAGAAAATACAATCATACCATTAACTGGGTGTGCAATAAAAGTAGCAACACAACGCTCAGATGTCCGGCCCGTTGTATTACGTCTGGCAAAAATTCAATCAAGCTTGGATATAAGAAACATAATCATGCAACTATTGTGTTATAACAAATAAAATAAATATAACAAAATATTAATAGAATATACATTGATACACACATAATTTTTATTGAAAAAACACCCAACTTGTACATTACTTATTTTATTTCCAAATGAGTATTTATATTAATTTATATTTAGTAATAATAATACAATAGCCATAGTGTAGAAGAATCTGGACCACAATTAACTTTTGCTTTAACTTTTTCAGATTTAAAACGACATCGCAATAATCAATATACCATTATAAATAACTATCGTTTTGTTAAAAGCTCACAATCAGCAAATACATATTACTTAAAATGTGCAAATTTTCGCAAATCCTGTCGAGCTCGTGCCATTATACGCAAGGACACAATGCAAGTCCAATTGAAAGATGGCAATCACACTTGCCAGAGCTACCAACGTAACATACGCCTTAAAACTGAAGTTATCTGACGCCAATAAACTAGAATTGACAACATAGCATTTCATTTTAAGTTCAACACAATTTATTAGATATTGAAATAAAAAACAATGCATTTATATATCTACGAAATTTAGTTTTCAGTAATGTTATTAGGATTTCCTTATTTATGTAATACTATATATTTATTTAATACTATTTACGCGTTTGTTTAATTTTATCTAAAGGTATTACATTTCCCGCTCGTTATATTATATCCAGGCGTGGTACACAACTGGTGCTGTTTAGACACAATACATACACACCAAATTCAAAAATAAAACCTGACTCCCTGAAACGTGATTGGAAGTGTTCCATGTATCACAAGGCCAAGTGTAAGGCACGCTTGGTAACCAAATTTACATCCGCTGGTGATATTATACACGTAACTTGTGCCATGCACTCTCACCCCCCCATGTATCCTCCAACGCTTTTAAAACCTCCGCAATAAACTAAATCACAGTGAGTTCTTAAATAGTTAAGTGTATTATTTTAACTATCTACAATCAAATTGTCATTGTAAATGTATTTATATTTCTCAGGAACAGTTTTTAGTTCTAATTATTAAAAATTATATATCGTTTTAAATTATGCTTTTAGAATAAAAATTGTTAAACATTTGTGAATAAATCTCGATGTCAACATGTTCAAAAATATGTTAAAATTTATTTTCGTAATTTCTTATATGTATATATTTACAATATTTGTTATTTTTTTAATTAAGTTTTCCTTTTATCATTTTTTTGTATATTCGCAGATGTAAAACCGCTAAGAAGTTATGGCAAGAAACAAGCTTTGGCTGTGGTAAATATCGAAACGAAACCATCATTGGCAGCTGCAATGCATACGAATTGTGAGCTGGTATTTATTCCTGGTCAGAGGGGCAAAAACCTATTGCTCTATCAAAATTATACATATTCCAAAAATAATGGTTCTGGCTCAACAACCTACTGGAAATGCCGTACAGTGTACAATGGGAAACCTTGCAATGCACGAATTACAACGTTCTTAAGACCAAATGGTCTGTACAATGTATGCCTGACAAAACCATGCCATAGTCATCCACCTTCGTCCAGGCTAACAAAGAAAATCCTTGGAAAAATTGAGGAGCATGAACAAATAAATTAATTGTATTTTTTCGTTTTAAGTTTACAATAAAGTATTACATTTTTATCCACTTTAACAAAAGAGGTAGCTGTGTACATACATATATTTGTGTGTGTGTGCGAGTGAATACAATTAATTGTTGTTTTATTTTGCCTAGCCATATTAAGAGTTAAGTTTTATTTATTAACTTGGTTTAACTTTTATGCTAACATTTTTTTCATATTTCTTTTTAACCACAATTCTAGAAGAAGCAACTGTGGCTGTGTATTCGGCAACATCAAGAGGACGCATACAACTAATATATGGAGGACAACCGTTTATTTTCGAGAAAAAAATTAAATTACCAACCAACGAAGAAAAGAAATACTGGCGTTGCAATCAATGGTGGAATCAGTAAGTTGAAATGTTTTCACGCTATTTTCTATTAGCATATATAACGAACCCCTTTTTGGACATGACTATTAGATAATAGAGATTTGTCGGTTCAAGTTAGGTAGAAGGTTTCAATTCATGTTTCATTCCAGTTTTCCAAATTTGTATTTTTAACAGGGACCGAAAGTAACATTTATTTTTGAAAATGTGAACAAAAAACTCTTCATCTTAGAGATATGGGACACCTATAGTGTCTTATATCAATAGATTCGTATTGACGAGCCCATTAAGGTGATCCTTAGAAATCACCCTCAGTTCCCATTTGAAGACTTATTATGGTTGTTAAATGTTGTTATACATTTTGAACAGTTAAAAATCAACCTTTATTTTTTCCGTTAAAAAATAAATAATTAAAATTAATTTTTTTATTTAGGCCACAAACTAATTAGGCAATTTTTGAGTTTCTTCTCATAAACTCCGGATGTAATTTATCGTTTAAAGACAACTCAGATATAAACACTATATAAAGATGTGTGGAAGTCGTTGATAAATGTTTTATTTATAGCTTGTTCCCATACTGCAAGAATCTTCTAATTTTTACTATTATTATTTATTTGATATTTTAAATGAAAACGGTTATAGTAGTAAACATTGGTTTTTAAAATGGTGTTTAGGATTTATATGCACTATGAAAACTAACCCATCTTTAATCCATAACCACAACTTGTGAAATTGAAATTGTAACTAGTTTTATTGTCACTCTTCTAAAAATTCTTATTTAATCTTTAACGTTTAATATTATAAATTATTTGATTAGAATTTAATTGCATTTGTGTTTAATACATTAAATTATAACCTAATAATGCTCTCACGTTCAGATAAATCAAATCTATTTTATATCCGTTATATATTTACTACCGATTATAAAGAAATAAACTGATCATATAGATTAATTGTTATATTTTTATTTTATAGAAAATGTCGATCACGTGTCTGCACCATTAATGATATGGTTCTTCCGCTCAATCGTTACCATACCCACGAAGAGATTGTCCGACGAAAGAAGCGTGTACGTAAAAACGTGCCAGGCAACAACAAAACTAACAAAGCAACAGGAGCCGATACCAGTGCTGGCGCTTCTGGTGGCAATAGCGGCATTGATCCGCTCGGCATGCATTTGAAGTATGAAGAAATTGTAGCAGATGTTACAGATATGGTTGAACCTACGTCTATAATTATGGCCAAGAAATAGACAATTAATTTTTTACTATACAATTACAATAATAATAATATTCAAAATATGCCCGTAGATGACAAAATAAACAATTTATTCACTCTTATTAATAATAAATAAATGCTTAATGTCGAAGGTTTTAATTTGTATTAAATAAAAAAAATAATTTTAAAAAATTATTTTGTCTTCCTTTGAATATTTTCTAATACGATCATGTTTTTTTTTTACTTATTGTTTTCCCACAAAAAACAATACTGGCTTTTTCTTTGCAGTCTACACGTTCACCACGGGCCAGCGCTCATCAATAAAATTAGTATACAACGGTTACAGTTTTGTGAAGTTCATGGAAAACTCCCGGGGTACAAAGTGGATTTGTGCCACCCGCTCATCAACAAAATGTCGAGCACGTGTTCGCACTACACAAGACTCACAATTGGAAGTTTTATATGGAGAACATAACCACAGTTTGAAACAAATGAAAGCTAAACATGAAGATAAGAATGAAATTGCTAAATTGATAGCTAGTATTAAGCAAAATATTGAATAAAGTTCATATGTTTATGCAAATGCAATAACATTGTTATATACATAAGATAGGTGTAAAATAGCTATACAAGGACAACAAATAGAACCAATTGGAACTTATGTATAACTTTAATAATATAAAAGTTAATATTGTGATTCTCTCTATAAATCACAGAATAGAAGACAATTAAATAAAAAATAAAAAACTCATTTGCCATCGTCTTTTAAAATAACACCAAAAATACCAACATTTTATAAAAAATCGTATTTAATGGATGTGTGTGTCACATTCAATACTCTTTTAGCTTCATAGTAAAACATTTTATTCAGAAATTATTTTATTTTTAAATGAAATTTCTGTAAAAATATCTGGCATAAACATTTTATTATTTGAGTTTGGCTGTAAGGGCGGTGATAATTTGAATGGAGTTATAAGTGAGTTATTTATACTCTTTCGAGTCAAGCTTAATGATCAAAGTTTTGCAATGAAAATGAAAGCCAGGAGAAGAACCTACTTACCCACCATTATGCGACGCATTTCGCCGTTGGTTAAGTGGCTCATATGGCATATTGGACTATGTGGCTTTACAAACATGTTACACATTTAAAATTCAAGCATACCCTACAAATGTTTTGTTTTCAATCACATCTGTAATATGGTTGGCTTTTATTTATTAAATGAAATTTTAAAATGATATTTCAAGTAAAAATATAATGTTAGTATATAGTATTTTCGCATATAAAATAAATTTCATTTCCACATTATTCTGGATGAATTTCATCAAAACATGACTCACACATCCAACAACCACCCGGACAAACTGTACAAAAAGTGGTTATCTTCGCAAGAGACTTTTTATCAACGTTGGGCTTTTTCAAGCAATAGACACACAAGCCGAGGCATCGTTTGCGTTTCACAACATTCAAGCTATGTCCATTCGAAGACTGTTTTACAATTAAATTGGGACTGTTTAACTGCTTCTCCACTTCGCTCTTGTCCAATGGCTGCATCAAGGAGTCATCTAATAAAGCGTCATTTTTATTCGACAAGCTGTCTGCAGTAGCGGCTGTACGTATTTTTGGAGGAGAAAACGATCTTTTGGAATATTTACGTTGTATCTGTTGTTTGTTTATTAGCAAGGACTGAGATGCAGCTGTTACGTTTGGGTTGAATTGGTTTTGGCTCATTACATAGGCTGAAATTATAACATTAAAGATTAAATTAGAACAATATTTTAAGGATATACAAATAATGTACTAAATAGTTCTTTATTTAAATTATGCACTCTTTTTTAAGTTTTTTTTTTAATTTTTTTTTTATTTATAAATTTGAGGTATAAAAGTTTTCTGTGTTTTTACTTCATGATTATGCTGATTTGTAGTGCTTAATAGGTTTTTATTTTTCGTTACTAAACGTGCCGGGCATTTCTTTTTGTGATACTGTGTACACCGCCACTGGACAATGCAACTTGTTGGCGTCCTACGGTAACAAGAATACGAATATCCTTTGTATATCAAGTGGCCACGATAGTTGTAACTGAAGAGCGGACAATCTAAGAGAAACAGTTTTATATTAACAATTTTGTCCATACACACAAATGCATTAAAAATTTATGAATTAAAAATACGACAAATCGCTTTGTTCATTCCTTTTTTTTATTTTGATTTTTAGCTAAATTTCTCTCTTCATAAATGACTTTAAGTGATCCCTTTTTACGACGTTCAAGTAAAATGTCGTGATTATGATCTTCGTCGACAATTGAAACACGGTCACCAGATGGATTAGTTCGGACTCTCGCTGTGCATCTAAACAAAGACGAAAAAATAAAGTTTAAATATGTATATTGAAAACTTTTTAAGCTTACTTACTTCAATGGCCGAGATTGAATACAACGCCAATAAATTGTGTCGCCCCGCACTCGATGCCTCGTATAAGGGAATCCATCCAATACCAACTGATAGGTGCCTTTTAAGCTATTGCGATATTTGACTCGATTTTGTTGCTCGGCTATGGGAATGTCGCAACCTAAAATCACATAAAACGACAATGCAATTTATTAATAACAAATTCTTTACTGCAAATCGTAAAATATTTACCGAACATATATTTAAGCGAACATTATGTGTGTCTGTCTTAATTACTCAACGTCATTTAACATTTATAAATTTTTATTTAATTAATCTTAGCATCTTATACATTTGCACATGTAAAATAGTTTACTTTTTCTACTACATACAACTAAATATGTATATTTCTGAAATTATTATTCATCACTGATTAGCATAAGCGTTGAGTGGGTTACCATATGCTGTTCACTTGATTGGGACAAGTGGCGGGTTGGATGTTGCGACTCAGATACAGCTAATGGGGTCTCCTTCTGGCAATCAACGGATATTGTACGTCTTGGCATTTTAATACGCTGCATCATGGAGTTAGTGGTAGTGATGTGATGACCCGTGGAGCGATTACGATACATCATTTTTGCGATTTTCTCTGTATGAGGCGGATGATTGTGTTCTCCACCCGACAAGCATTTCAGTCTACCGTTTTCCAAAACGCAACGTGAACGACAACGCTCCGATTGTACTTTTTTGGAATAGTTATGGCAGCGCCAGTATTCCTTGTTGTTCTTGCGGCTATGACAATTGTACATAAAGTTGTTCAGGACCAGGCATGGTGTCGCCCAAGGACTTTCAATGAAAACGAGTTTGGTGTCTGGACATGAAATACAAAAAGTAAGAAAATAATTTGTTAAAAATTGAAATTAATAAATTTCACAACTTAAGAGAACCATATAAATACATAGACCCAAAGACTGGTTATATTATCTAGGAATAGCGACTGAGATGTACTGCAAAAAAGTAGTATTTTATTTTTTTAATAATTTCATCTCATTTGACTTGCTAAGAACTAATTAAATTATACTGTAGCCTATGAGTAACTGAAAATATTGTCTAAACATGCTCCCGTTTATAAATTTGAGCTTTCATGTCCAAGGCTGGACATGGTGCGGGTACAAACAATTTAAATTCTTTGCCGCTCTTCTGTGGCAATATATCGATATTGGTCATTGTTATAAATTCATTTATATTCGTAGAGTCTGGCTTCAATTCGATATAGTCTCCCAGATCCTCTTCCTCGTTGTACAGTGGTCTTTGATTTATTCTCTGCATGTGGTTCTCATGGTTGTGCTCTCGTCTAGCAATGACGAGTTCATTCTTTTTGGTAATAACCACAGCTTTGCAACGCATTTTCAGCACATCTATGCAACGCCAGGTTGTATGTCCATTTGCCTGCGTAAGCTTCTTATTGTAAATGAAGCCATTGTAAACAAGCTGAGCATTCTTCTTTTGACTTCGTATGAATTTAACAAAACCTGGAAAGTTAATGGATAAATATATGACAGCATAAGTTATAAATCATTACAATACAGCAGTAAAATTATTCCATAGAGCAAAAAACTATATTTATATAAATAAAACACAGTTATAACAAGTATTTTTACTTTATTATTTGATAGAATTTTAAAAATAGTTTTATTAAAACAAAATTTATCTTGTGTATTTCTGTTGAAGAGTTTTTTAATTACTATGGATATCTGGAATACAAAATACCTGGCATTTTAAGAAATATACATATTAGTAGTTTACTATATTGATTATCCAAATTATGGTCTTAAATCGATAGTTTCATCTTAATTTGTTCTATCCTGAAGATCAAGAAGACACAAAAAAATGAAGACGACCTTTACAGTTCAGTATACTGGGAATTGTTTACAATATTACCGCACGCGCTTTTAATCATTTGTCGCATATTCTCAATATACCAAAAATATCATACAATTCTTACTTGGAATTTTTCTTCAATCATTTCATTCGTATGGTACAAGTGAGTCAAAGGATTGCATTGAAGTATGTTTCTTTTCTGTGATAATTTTGTCCACCATTATGTATATACACACACCAAACGCATCCCAACAAAATAATCAGGCAGCCTTAAATATTTGGCCACTGACACTGATTGGAAGTTTTCACGACATTTGCACTGAATGTAATTATTTAAAAAACACACACATTTTTATAACTTTATTCTAAAATAAAAAAGAAAAATTTATTTCCAATGCAGAACCAAAACAAAATATAAAAATCTGTACTTTTCAGTTGTCAAACATTGTAGTGTAATAGATTATGACAGTGTTGGTAAACGTTAATACGAGGCACACATCTATTACACCTTTCCTGTTTTACTTTGTGCGGCAATGTGCGTTTATATGTGGATCAGATTATCAAAGCGCGTTTATATGTTACATTCGATCACGATGAAAGGCCGAATCAGGATTTAAGCGGAAAACACATACGATGATTAAGATTTGGCCAAGTTAATTGGCATTGTATGAAATGCCAAATTTATAAAGGAATATAGGTGTCAAACATTATATAAGGTAAGTTATTTTTTGTCAATAATGAAATATACACCTCTTCGTTGTGGACTATAATGTCAGAATAAATTAAAACAAATGCAACAAGTGGTTTTTAATAAAAACACGAAAAAATTAAGCAACTCTGCTGCTGCTATCTTCGATTCTCTTTTGAATTTCTTCCCCTTGTCACTTTGTATACCTCTCACTTCTAAGAACTCAGTAGAGTTGCTTATAAAAGTTGCATGTAGAAACCCAGACTTATCGATTCATTCACAAATCAAAAATTTCATCTTACAAATGTTGTATAATTCATCTTCGAACTAATGGATTTTAGAAATTATTTTTTTATATTTTTCAAAGCATCAAACATTTTGTATATAACTTTGGCATAACAAGTTGCTATGGTCCACCTTGAATAAATGTCCTCTGAAGTGTTTCCCCCTTAATGATTGGAAAGTAAAAATCCTTAATAAAAACAATAATTCTATTAATAATATTTCGTTTGTTTATTTTATTATATCATTTGCAGCTATTGAATATAAAACCAAACAACATGTGAACCCAGTTCCAAATGTTGGTTTATTTCATTGTATAATAATTA